TTTGTCTTTGTCGCTTATTGGACGGAACGGCCCCGATTGGGCAAAACTCGGTGCTAAGTGAAAATGAGGCTCGACAAAAACAAGATCGGAGGTAGTGGTGGTTTAAGCTTGTAGTCAACAAAGCTATATTCTTCACTCATGTGCCTCACACTACCTATCCTATTGTTTAAGTCTACGTTCGGTTCCAGAGGCAATTATGGGTTCATGTCTGGTCTATGCGGGGAGCAAACCCTGACTCTCTAACACTTGTCACAAGTTGGAAAGCGCATAAGTTGCTTCCACAGCCAGCCAGGAGGCCCAAGCGATTAATCTCCATTAGTAAGCCCAAAACGCTGCCCGACATTCCTGTGTCTGGCCGCGGGAGAGCAGGCTAGCTCAATTGGTTGAGGAAAGGGGTAGAGAGGAAGGAGGGTGGAGGAGGGGAAAGTGATACATAGGTCGGTAGGTGCCTACATTTATGGACATAATCAATGTGTCTGAGCACAAAGCGTAGGCACCTACTGACCAGTCCAATATTACTCGACTCAACAGGAGAAAAGGGGTAGAGAGAGGGTAGGGAGGATAGAGGAGGGAATGTTGTACACAAGGATATGGCTACTACATAGCACTATGGTTTTGATATGTTTTTTTTTTTTTTTTTTTTTTTTACTTACAAGTGTGCAACACGATGAAAGTTGAGGCTAGTTGAAATCTGGTTGAAATTGGTTGAAACCTGTTCAAACATGTTGGAACGTGTTGATAAACATTTGAAAATTCCCCCCAATCATTTTAAGCCCACTGTAAGTTGTTTGTAACCACATGACATTGTGCTCCGTGTTTATCGACGATTATGGCAAATTAAAAACCCGTCCATCTCGCCGACTGTTGGTGCTCCTATATATCTCGTCCTTGGAGAAGCAGTGGTCCCGAAAACTTGACAAGAGGTGGTTAGGACCCTATCGGATTGTGCGGTGTGTAGATTTCGGCGTATACCAAATTGAGGAGCTGGATGGGACATAATGAAAGGATTGGGTATCTGGAACGAGGCTGAAGAAGTTTGTGGCAAGAAAAGAGGTAAGATAGATAATGCAACTTCTTTAGAGTAGGATCCTAGGATGTGTAGATTGGATACAGGTGCATGATGGATATGTTTGGTTTAACATGAGCCTGTTTCATTGCCATCTGTTTGCTTACCCCAATGTGTGTCTGTCGTCTCCTTCGCTTGTTGTGCAGGTCCGACTTTGCGAAGACAGCCATGCGAAGGGGAAGGAGGGGGACGAGGCCACCACAGAGGCCATTGGGAGCATCAGGAGGTTATGAGCGGCATGGGTCTCACCATCGGGAGGGCACGTTAGTATACGATGACGGGGATGTAGAGTTATTTTTGGACGACTTTCGAGGGTATGCGGAGCATATGGGTTGGACGATGACTCAGACGATTGAGAGGCTGAGAGGAGCTGGTAGGTTTGTAGAGCCCATTGCGCGGATTCGTAGGGAGGCGAGGACCTGGCAAGAGGTGGAGATAAGGATGCAGGAGCTACAACCATCGTCTGTGGGTCCTGACGGCAGGCCGATCCGCCTAGAGATCGGGAATGCTAAGGACTTCATCCCTGCTTTTGAGCAGTTCATGTACGATTAGCATATATTGAGGGATGAGTGGGCACGAACATTACCCCTGTGGACCAGGAAGGCGGAGAGACCTTTGGCTAGGCAGATGAGAGACATGGTACGAGACTGGGAGAGTTGCAGGGCCCATTTGAGGGAGGCATTTCGACGACCGGAGCCGCCTCATCCCAGAGTTGAGAGACGCCAGAGGAGCAAGAGGCAGAGGGATCCGGGGCTCAAAGAGACCATGTCATTGCGAGGAGGGCGGAAGGCACTAGCAAGGCGAGAGGAGGAGTCAATACCTGAGGCTGAGGAGCGAGGGGCATACTCCGAATGTGGGATAGGCCCAGTGGTCTTTCAACGTTTTACTGCAGCGGAGTTGAGCGAGTCTCCCTAGCACGCGAGAGAAGACGTGGCGCCATCTAGACGACCATTGCAGGAATTGGAGGCGCACCTTGATGTGTCACAGTGGAGAGTGCCTCGGGCTGGTGAGGGGCATGACGAGCCAACGGGAGATATGCCGCAAGAGGAGGTCCATGAGATTGGGCAGGAGGCAAGGCAGAATGCCGAGAGAGGTGCTATGGGGGAGGTGATAGAGGTTCATGAGGACACTCCACCTCAGGCTCATGCTGCAGAGCTGGGGCCAGAAAGCGTACCAGAGATCGTCTGTGAGGAGGAGGCTCGACAAGAGGAGATTTTGTCCCCACCACCAGAGGCAATCCTGTCACCAGGAGTGAGGGTGGAGATGGAGCGAGAACAGACTGACTGGAGGAGAGAGGCCGTCTCCACGATTGATAGGTATCTGGCCACGCATGCCTAGGAGCACCCTGACATCGAGGAGCCCGTACCTAGGGAGCCACCACAAGAGCCTCGTCAAGCAGAGGGAGAGATGAGAGCTGATATTCCAGGGAGAGCGGACCATCGTATGAGAGGGAGAGTACCGGTAGGGGAGACAACCGAGGAGAAACGGGCCAGAGTTGGGAAGCGCTTGGAAAAAATCTGGCAGGAAAGGCAAAAGTTAGAGGAGGCAGGTGCACTCCCAGATTAGCCACCTCCGCCTAAGCCATGCGGAATCAAGGAGATGTGGGACGAGTTCTTTGGCCAACATGGCGAGGGGCTGGTGACTCCAGAGAGGGCAGGAGTTGGGACATCAAAGATGGCAGACGAGTACCTGGACCTGAAGATCCGCTTCTTGGCCAACACATCTTTCAATAGGTACCTGATGTTGGAAGCTGATCTGATTGGAAATAAGATGAAGGAGGCGAGCCTTGGAGTACGTCTGGAGGCGGTTGAGGCGGAGGTCCGAGAGCTCAGAGCGTTGGTGGCTAGTCAAGCTGCCATCAACAACAGCCTCAAAGCAGGGCCGACATGACAGAGGGAAAGAAGTTTGCTGAGGTAGTGGATGGGGCAGGGAGTAGTCAACGTGACAATCAGAGAGAGTCGGCGCAGGGCACACTTGGGCAACCATCCGTGATTGAGGCCTCTCGAGAGTCATCCCTGAGGAGAGTTATTCTAGAGCCGGAAGAGGCAAAGGCAAAGAGAGAAGCAGAGGGCGAGGACTTCGAATTTAGGGCGCCTACTGAGCTCGTTATCCAGCCTGAGACGTCTTTTGGACAAATGTCGGAATCCTTAGCTCCACAAGTGAAAGACAGGCAGCAGACAGCAGTCAGTGAGCCTGCACTTGTATCATACGAAGAGTCCATGGGTATACTCCTTGAGGCAGTCGACACTATGCAAGAAGAGGCAAGCCTGTTTTCATCTAAACGAAGGGTGGAGGAGCCTCAAGAAGGCGAGATGACGGTTACGATGGAGGGTGTCTTTGAGGGTAGGTCACAGAGGCTGGATACTCCTGAGTACAGACCTAAGGGAGTTGGGATGCGGGCAGAGCCGAGTACTCAGGAGATGGGTATGAGATCTGGGGAGCCTATGGACGTACCTTAGAGCTATGAGATGGGCAGAGAGGCTAGCGAGGCACCTTCGTCGCCAGAGTCTCCGAAAAAGAAGAAGGGACTAAGAAAGTCGTATGACCCGACCTGTTTTTTTTGCAAGACAGGGGAGCATAGGGCCTTGCAGTGTTCTAAGTTTTTGAAGGACAAGGTAGCAGGGAAGGTTACTGAGAGTGATGGTAGGATGTATAATAGACAGGGTAGAATAATAGAGCGATCTGCCAATGAGGGCAAGACTCAGTTGTATAGGCAAAACCAGGAGAAAATGAGTGAGTAGGGACTGGTTTACCTATGTGTAAATTACTGTTAGAGTAACATAAGAATGAGCAGAATATGTATACTCGGGCAAGAGGTTTGACCGTATCTTTGTTTTTGTTTTTTCGTTTTTAAAAGTCTGGATATTTGCGTTGTTAAGTTGTACATATGGAGGATTACAGCGTATGTTTCTCATTGAGACTCTTTTTAGTGATATAAGAGTCAGGATCATGTAAGATAACAACTGTATGATGAGGGTATTCTTCCTTAACTTTGAAATTTAGATCCAGTACTTGTCTCATCGACATTGCTAAGCAGTACGGTTGGCCATGTACCATATTGAGGGTGACATTGATTGGTCCGAGTGAGTTATGGATCTAGGCTACTATGTGTGTTTTTTGGATAAGGTATCTCGTCCCTGAGTGTATTTTTCAGTTGAGTTTCATCTGAGACTATTCCCCTGTATATGACGATCACAATCACTCTCACATGAGTGGTTTTATCCTGATGTATGATGGTTTTTGTGTGAGATGTATGAGAAACATCTCATGTATTTTGTATTTTGTGAATGTGAATGAATGTGGATTGTCTACTCTTCAGTATACTCGGGCGATCTGCCTATGGGCAGGTGATAGGGCCGGGTATAAGGAGAGGGAGAGCAGTCTGTTTCTGTGAAAAGTGTGGGAATCCTAAAGGGATTTATGAGTCCTTAAGACTCGAATGCTTGTCGTGCCGAATGTTTATTGTTGAATTGTGATGAGGACCCATAAGTTGGTCTCTCTGTTTGAGTTGTTTTTATGGTTAAAACATCCTCAAGTAAGGAAGATAGTCTTGTGTTTGTCAAGAGACTTATCTTCAGAGAGGAGAGATGTTTTAAAAGAAAGGGTCCCATGAGGATTCATCCTAGAAAGGAAAGGGATAACTGGGAGACCTATTGAGTGAGACCTCCTTCATATGAAAGGTGGTTAATAAATTTAATGACATGGAAAACTGATTTTGAATGATAAAGTCTGACGAGAAGGACCAAGTTTTTGTTTGGCCATTGTGGGAATTTTAGAGGTCGAAAATGTGATTTATTTTGAGAGATGTCAGTAAGAGGTGGCCTTCTTGGCCTGATCAAGTAAGGAGGTCACGGCTTTGTGAATCCGGCGGTGATTTTTTGTTTTGTGAAAGTGGAGAGGTTGTCGTGTTTCTCTGTGTTGTCCCACAGAGGACTGGTAAATACCTCTTATGTGTGGAAGACCTTTGCGTAGTCTCGCAGTAGGCCTGTATTGTTGCGACACACCGTCCAGCCATTTGTGTTAATCTTGGGGTATTTATGAGAATACCAAGCTAATGGTAAAGTTTAGCATCATTAGGGCGCAACCCCTAGTGTCGGCTGCTGATCGGCATAACTTGAACAACGGGCGTACGTCTTGCCAAGGCAGTAAAGACGTAAAGGGGTGTGGTCACCCAGGAGGGTTTTACTCCTGCGGAACGACGTGGGATAGGAGTCAAGTCGAGTCTTTTGAGTCCTGATTGAATGCTTATCAGAAGAAAGTCTATTGTAGTGCAACCTGCGAGGGCACTACCGCTAAGATTACAACGCGGTGGGCCGTAGATCTGGCACGATCATCCAGACCATGGTGGGTCAAGATGAAAACCTGATCTTCCTGTACTAGACTGCAGGAAGAATCTATGATGAGGTTTATATATATATATATATATATATGTTTGATTGTGAAAATTGCTGGAGGGAGGCAAGAATGCCTTCAAACTTCTTGGTTAGGGTCCGCGTCTAACGAAAAGTCGGCGTTTGTCTAGGACAAAGGATAGAGGACAATTGAGGAATCCATTTAGGACTTATGTTGTAGTATAGTGATGAGCATCCCACTTTCCTAGTATCAGGAGGATGGAGGCCCAGGTTGGAATCCTGGCAGCATAAAGTTGTGGTTGGAATGGATTGCTGGAGAACTCGAACCAGAGTCTGTCGGCTAATCGGATTAGTACCATTCTCGTCGGCATTTGGAGTTGTGGATGGATGTATAACTTTCTGATTCTGCGAAGCGACGGGGGCGTCGCTTAATATGGTTCGGTAAGTTGTCGGTGCGAATACCCTTACAAGGGTATCCGCCCTGGTTTTTGTAGGCGACGGAGAATAAATTTGATTTAAAGTTTAAGTATATCGCGCGAGGTGCGGCGACGTCTGTGGTTTATGTTGATTGAATGATTGACTAAAGTAGAGAGTGTGTAGGCGCGCAGACTGAAGGCGCGCATGATAAAAAAATTATGAAAGTCGGCGTTGGTCGCCGGTGTCACGCGCAGCGATCCCAGACGTAAAGTAATTTTTAGTGTTGGACCTCACGGTCGTATCATGCAGGAGTTCTATAAGGGATTCAGCGAAAAGACCAACTCCAACCGTGCGCGCGGGTGATACCTCTCGCGACTCCCTACGGCAGGTTAGGGATTTCGCGAGGTACAACATTACCTCCACCTGCGGGAGCTGTCACCATCCCTTAGGTGGGCGTATCCCTGGTGAGCTACTGACCCACGTACGAAGGCTTTTACATGCAATCGCAGAGGTAGGCCAGTCGAGGGCGTTTTCTCGATCGCCGCAGCATAGGTATATGCGCGGTAGAACGCCTTAAGATTGACCCGTATGTCATGTCCCGAGGTACTAACTCCTCGGACCAACTATCTAATTAGGTCGACCTTCTCGGACAGTCTTTCACGCTTAGCTAACTTAAGACAATGACTCTGTGTTTCCCTTTGTTTGACCTTATGAGAAAGCCACAGTCGAGCACTTTGTAATCCCTCTTTCTCTCGAAACAGAAACCTAGACAAATGACTTTCTGAGCCTCGACCAGCTACGATCTCTTTCACAGATATATATATATATATGTATGTATGTAAATCATGGGAGTTGAACGAGCGGTGGACCGCACTCTTCACAATTGTTGTGCCCGTTGTCCAATTATCCCAAGTGATCCCAAATCCAGAAGACAGCACAATGTCCAACACCTGTGCAGATGCAAGACGTCACATACACGCATAGAGATGCAAACACAAAAATGTGCGACAAACCTCAACCTTTAACCCATTTATAGCAAACCACTCACGCCCCAAACCTTGAAAGACAACATTCCTTCCTAAACCTGACTCTTTTTACCCCAGCCCTTCACATTTTCAAAGACCTCTAAGTGTGATTTGGACAATTTTAGGCATAGATACAGGGGGAAGATTTATCTGCTTCCTTCTTAGGTTTTGTTTCAGGTGTGGGTATCAGGTCATGGTGGAAGTTGAGTCGGAGTTTTACCGACCTGTTATCCAGAGATAACATAATTTGCAGTTCCTTACGGATTTCTTCCGTAGTCCTTTCCAACAGTGGTGAACCTGTAGACACAACACAATCCGAAAGAATCTTAACGTCGCTTCTTCGACGTTGGGATCTGGAAAATCCCATCTAGACTTGTGACCAGAGTCGGTGCTCGTCGTCGACCTGCTGCCTAACTTCTACCCTGATCTTATTGCCAGTCCGCTGCCCAGTCGGTCCAGGCGACGAACAGAGTTCATCCTTCGCCTCTTCGTCCCTGCGATTCTACTTAGTTTCCTTCTTTTTATGAGCCCCATGTTCCTAACCACCACAAGCAATACCATTTATTCAATTTAGAAATGGATCATGTGATAGAGCTCAAATCAAAATTTCAAAGGGTGGTAAGCCTCTCTGAGTCAAGAACTCACTTTACCCTCCTAGTAGAATCAGAGATAGTTAGTTAGGACTGAACGATGCGGATTGTGGAGAAAGTTAACGGTGGTATGGCAGACCATTCAGGATATATCCACTTGTTACGGGTGCCTGTTTGGCAAAAGCAACCTTGTGGGTTTTGGCCCCCTGTGTGCTGAAGCACACTTGTCAGCAGGCTTAACTCATGGCTTGGTCACTAATAAGGCAGGTTTTCTCGTGAAACCTTGCTACTCTTATCATTGACCAGTCACTAATAAGATAGGTTTCATAGAACCATGCTACTCATATCACTTGCTAGTCTCTGATAAGGCAGGTTACCCGGAACCTTGCTACTCTTATCACTGACAGAGTGCTAGGATGATCACTTGATAAGGCAGGTGTCCTTGAAACCTCGCTACTCTTATATCAAACTAGTCACTGATAAGAGAGGCTTTCCTTGTTACTCTTATCACTTGCAAGACCTCAATAAGGCGGGTGTCCATGGATCCCTGCTCCTCTTATCACCAAATGAATGTCAGATTGGTTAATGATAAGGCAGGTGTCCTTGAAACCTCGCTACTCTTATATCAGATTAGTGATTGATAAGGCAGGTTTTCCCTGCTACTTTTATCACTGGCTAGCCCTTGATAAGTCGGGTGTCCAACAAAACCTGCTACTCTTACCACTGAAAATAACGTTAGATTGGTCAATGATAAGACAAGTGTCCTTGAAACCTCGCTACTCTTATATCAGACTAGTCACAGATAAGGCAGGCTTCCCTGCTACTCTTATCACTGGCTAACCCTCAATAAGGCGGGTGTCCAAGGAATCCTGCTACTCTTACCACTGTCCAAGTGTAAGGCTCATCGGAGGTAAGGCATGACCTTTTTCACGGAGCCTCGTTACTCTCATCACTGGCTAGTCGTTGATAAGGCAGGTTCCATAGACCTTGCTACTCTTATCATGCGACTAGTCACTGATAAGGCAGGCTTCATGCGATCCTGCTACTCTTACCTCCACACAAGTCTTATCGACAGATCAAGTTATTGTCTTTGATGTCACTCGCCTTGAACCGTTGTTAGTTTCGGGGACTTGTGCTTGGATCAGGCGTATGACAAGAAATAATTGACACGAATCATCACCGTTGCATTCAATCACAATAAGCTGAGCCAATGAATACCCATCATCATTAGGTGACGTATAGAGAGAAGAATATTAGAAGTCGATCCCTTCCATTCATATTTTCAAGAAATGCCCACACAACAAGATTGTTGTACCCAAAAGCCATCAATTTTGACCCGGCCAGCCTTTTCTCTACCCATCTTTTGAAACAACAATTGGGTCGAGGTAGCGTACCTTGTCGTTCTCTACCTCCAGAGTTCCGCCTGAACTTCGGCAGAGCTCCCGGAATCGTCCTATGTATATAATTTAATTAATCGATTGCTGGCACTTAGAGCTAGTTGAGGCCAGGATTAATTCCATGGGAAACATTCCATCAAATAATAAAAGTCGAGGAGAGAGACATCTGAACGGACCAAACAAAGATAAGCATGGAGGAGGATAAGGAGGTGGGTACTATCGCAAAAGGATAGTGTTACCTTTCCTCTCCAATGCCCTATGCTTCCTTCCAATCTCTGACCTCGTACGATGTTCAATGATACCAATAGTACTAATAGAAGTAGTAGTAACAATAAGCAAGTTAAATAATCATGATAGTAGTAACAAGGCAAAAAATAACAATCGTGGCACAATTAATAATAATAATACCATGTCAATTTGAATAAAAGAACGAGGATGTCTTTTGTTGATGTTTCTCCCGATCGAACTCTCCCTCTTTCACTCGCTTCCCTCTCACTTCTTCTTCTCTTCCTCTCACTTTCACCCTCTCAA